GCACTTGTGCCTCTCCATTAAATCAATTTTATGCCAACAAAGGCCAAACATCAACCCATGCTGCTCACCACACGCACAAGATCCAAAAAAAAAATGATTAGCTGCATCACATGCACTTTTTTGTTCTACCAAATTGTCACGGACAAATTTTTAAACAGAATGTTTGATGTAATGTTTATGTATGTCCGTATCTTTTGGTATGTTCATACTTTACACAGCATATAAAGGGACGATCGAAGGCTTAATAGTCCCATTTTAGTTGGTTTGGTGGCTGCTTTAGGCTTATAAATAAAGGTTGTGTCATGTGGACACTTGTGAGAGATTCTCGGTTTGTAATGGATAATTTTGACCCTTTGTTGGGCAACTATTCAGAGCTTGTAAAGTTTGTTTATAATTTGCATTGTCTATGAAGTGTTTCCTGGAATGTTTGCTTGTGGATCCCGAGTGAGGCGTTTTCTCTAACCCGTTTCTCTTTCGTAGGTCCTAACGGACCATGGGAGGCTTCGGGGAGGCTGACTTTTGCGGACGGACACACAAGGATGCCGCACGACTTAGGTAAAACCAGCTAAGTCCGTGATAGATGGTATCAGAGCGAGACAAGCACTCATAGAAACACTTAGCATACAAACGTGGGGGACCTAGCGGGGCTGCGTTGAGGGCAGTCAGCACACACACGACCGTTTGGGGGAAAACAGGCATGGAGATGTAGGGAAAAGAATCACTCGGAGGAGCAGGCATTTGAGATTGGTATTCAGAGGAATGGCCAACCCTTCGCATAAGAGATACCACGAGAACAGGCAAGCTTGGAAGAATGTGGAGCGCACAAAGGGTGGGATGGCTGAGTTTGAGCTACGGCTCAACGTTGACAACTATACTTGATGGTGCTCAAGGCAAGCGAGGCGCTTGGTAAAGGATGAGACCATGCAAGGTGGAATGAGTTGCTCAACGATCGAAAGAGTTGTGCAAAGCTCACAGAGGTGAGGGGAATTGCTAACTCAAAGAATTCGGTACTCATACATGGGTTTGTATGCGGACGATGGAATGTTCGCGGCCATCCCAAGGCGACCGAAACTCGACGCCATGGAGCATTGAAACTCTCTTCGGCATGTGAAGGATACGTCCGTAGGAGGCTGAAGTGTGCAACGAGTTCAGCATGTTGCTAGGCCTTGAGTGATGCAGCGGGGGCTGTATTGACGTGGAGTCGCAATCTAGCAAATGCGTTTGCAGGAGGCAGAACAATGTGCAGTTTGTTCAGCAAATCAAAGTAGTCCAAGGGGATGGTGGTCTCCAAAATAAAGAGAGATGTTGCTCCAATGGGATAGATATCCAGGAGGGATAAGTCCCGGCTCTCCAGAGGGAGAATCATGTGCAACAGACCGCACATGTTGAGAAGGAGTACCTCAACAAACAATAACTCCACGAAGTTCAATGGACCGAGCAAGCGGCGAGGAGTCGTTGCATGATCTCGCTTGAGAGAATGCATTGGTGGATGCATTACGAGATCAAGTTGGGGAGCGACCCAAAGCAACACAAATGAAGGCACACTTGGAGTCGATATGGAAACCAGACTCAAGGGAGGGCTGACCCATGGAATGGTGGGCGCGAGGGCCACCATCAACTCAATGCAAAAATGAGGAGCAGAGCAACTTGGGTGTAACTTGGCGAAGTACCCAAGCCGCACGAAGGGAGCCAGCATAGAAGTTGGAACATGGAGCGGAGGCATAGTGCTTTCCTTGGACAGAGGTCAAGGACATGAACTCTTGCAGAGGCAAGAGCAGGATCATGTTGTTCCATGGGTCCTTCATTCTGACGGAGCAGACTCATCTTGCATGGTGGCAAAGATGAAGGGAGCTTCTGGGCACATGCTCCTTATCTCGGAGAAGCATTTGATTGAGAAACTAAGGCGACACAACTTGCAGAGGCGAAGTTGGGTTCAGAAGGCCTTGGCACGGGGCAAGAGGACACGGAGGCGGGTACTCTTGAAGAATATATCACAGTGTTGCCATTTAAGTTGCCATGAAGGAAGCGATGTGCAACAAAAATTGTGCTGGTAGGGGCAGAGGCCTAGGATCCAGACAATGGTGTACTAATTGCAGCAAAGTTGGGGGACTTTGGGAGCTACTAGGCGACGGACTATCCTAGAGCGGTGCTTTATCTAGGTGTGACCCAAGAGTGGGTGGATGAAGGTCGATTGCCAAATGAGCGAACAAAATCGAAGGTGGAAGAGACCCTGTGATGTATTGGCAAATGCCACACATGGAGGGATCACAATTTGAGTTCATCCCACAAGGATCAGAATGCAATAGAGATGTCACCGGGAGGCGACATGGTGCAGCGGATCATGGTGGAACAGTTCGCGGCAATACGATACACATTACATAGTCCCGTGAGGGACTAGATCATATGGAGGTATGATCGGGAGCTATTGGAAGCTCCACTTCGGTGAACAACACGATGGCAAGAAGGGCTATGGATTCAAGGAGTGAAGGCCATGGTACCGCAAAGGCGGGTCTTCCGTGCGTGCATCGAATTTTGCATCGGATGAAAGCCTTGGTCATTAGCATATGGGGGCTGTGTTCCACCAAGGGAAAAGTTCGAATGCAAAGTACTAGTGAGTCCCATGAGAGGGACTTAATCATGCAGATGTATGATCGAAGCAGTTGGAGAGTTGGACTGCTCTAGAGCTTATATTCGCTTAAGGGAGCCCGGCAAGTCAGAGGACAAAGTCGAGTAAACGAACGTTACTACTAAGGAAGCTAAGGAGAACAGAATCAGTGCAAACCCTACAACATAATGGTAGAGGCCATCCATGAGAGTTGCAATCTATCTTTCCATCGACCAAAGGGAGCTGCTTGGAGAACATAGAGGTGTTGAAGTAGGGGGTCGAAAGGGGTGAGGAAGTGACGACGAGTCCAGAGGGACTTAGCTACCCAAATCAAGCATCAGTTAGAATGGAGGTGGACTCGGAGGAGTGCCATAGAGACATATCTACTGATCGTGAAGAAAAAAGATGCAGATGCGAGGTGACGGATAGTAGGGCCATTGGCATGGCAACGCCATGGTGCCGCAGAGGCGGGACTTCCGTGAAAGTCATTGATCCCTTGCTCTCATGGAGGGAGAGCGCTTGGTCGTGACAGGGGCCGAGGAGGTGGAGCATGCAGAAGCAAACTCCAAGTACCGAGACAAGGCTGAAGGGTAGAGGTCAAGGAACTTCGTAAGACCGGTGTCAACGAACTTTTCATCAAGATAGCCGAAAGTGAAGGACTTCGGGTCATGCAAGAGTGCACGACCAAGGAACGAAGCAGGCAGTACGCGGTGTTGTACCTTTGCTACTCAGGGGAGTAGGCGACAGGGTTGATGGAGAAGACGGTACAATCCCAAAGGCGACCAAATCTATTAGAGAATTACACCAAGTTGGGGTGAAAAATTCTTGCATTCCAGATGTTCGATGACATTGAGAAGGTGAATCACAGTAGCTAACTCAACGCAAGGAGTGCAAACACTTCAAGTGCTCCAGAAGTGTGAGCAAAGAGCAGGCGAAGGCCAGTAACCAGCTCGATGCATGGAGTACAACCTCGAGGAGGCGGGCGAAGTCAAGTAACCTTTGCCTTCTCAACCCGTAAGAGAATGAGCGAAACCGAGTACCTTAATTCTCTTATCTATCCAGCAGAGGAGCTATGCACAAGTTCAAAGACCCTTCGAAGATAATGAAAGACAAGAGTTGTCAAATCCTAACCAACGGTGATCAGTGCTACTAAGAGTAGATTATCCGCTTCATTTCCCAATGAAATGACAATCGAAAGCGGAAGTGGTGCGAACTTACTTGGAAGCGACAACTAAGTGAAAGAAGAGTCAATGGGCAAATTTTGTGGAGGAATGACCTAAAACTTCAGAAGTTTGCGAGATGATGCTCGTTAAATCTCCAACAAGCATCCACCCAGTTCAAGCAGCATGAGGCATTTGAGAGACTGGCACAGTAAGGATGGTCTTTTCCTTCATCTGAAGGATCCACAGGAATCAACAAGGATCAACACAACTCAGCCAACCCCACATCAGAGTCAGAGTCATTGGTGAGTTGAAGCAGCATGACGGATCAAAGGTTCGACTACTCAAAAACAGCAGCAGAGAGCAGTTGGGAGTCAGGAGGCGCATTGCAGCTGGAGCAGAAGATTGAAGACTCAGCAAAGGCAAGGAGTTGCAGTATCGGCAAAGGCTTCGACGAGGATGTCAAAGGAATAAGTGGGGGAGAATGTCACGGACAAACTTCTAAACAAGATGTTTGATGTAATGCTTATGTATGTCCATGTCTTTTGGTATGTTCATGCTTTGCACAGCATGTAGAGGGACGACCAAGGTTTAATAGTCCCATTTTAGTTGGTTTGGTAGCCGCTTTAGGCTTGTAAATAAAGGTTGTGTTATGTGGACACTTGTGAGAGATTCTCGATCTATAATTGACCATTATGACCCTTTGTTGTGCAACTGTTTAGAGTTTGTAAAGTCTGTTTGTAATTTGCATTGTATATGAAGTGTTTCTTGGAATGTTTGCTTGTGAATCCCGAGTGAGGCGTTCTCTCTATCCCGTTTGCTCTTTCGTAGGTCCTAACGGACCATGAGAGGCTTCGGGGAGGCTGACCTTTGCGGACGGACACGCAAGGGTGCCGCACGACTTAGGCAAAACCAGCTAAGTCCGTGACAAAATGTCACTTCCAGATTTGCATACGAGCTATCAAGGTAATATTGGTTCCACTAATATTACCTTTTGATCACTTTCAAAATATTATCTCTTAATATTAGGTTATATTAAGAACAACAAAAGCTTTTGATCACTTTCAAGTGATTAATCCACTACATGTTGCCTATATAAAAGAAATAAAAAGCAACTCACTCATTAAACTAGCTCAAAATTTTCGATATTGATTTGACAATGCAAATAATTTTCGGTATTCATCTTTGATAACATGTAATAATAATCGTCTTTGCACGTATTAGAAATTGGTCAAGGATAACAAAATTTTTCAATTTGTCACAACTTCCCAAGTCAATGTTTTTCCACCCATGATTGTATCAAACAAACTTTTAAGTTTTGTTTCACATCTACATTCAACTTGGCTCATTTTCTATGCTTAGCATAAA